ACTTCATATTTTGGTATCACTTTTAATCGTCTTCACAAAAAATTTCTAATAATATATTTCGTTATAAAAAATATTTATTTTATTGTAATTTAATAAATTAAATAAATTAATCAAAATAAAGAAAAGATATAAACAACACATTAGGGTAAACTGACCACTTTACCTGTCTTGTCTTGTTCAGGTGTGTCTTACCAAACGCTGAACATCTGTCATGTATTCTCATGTTCTGTCTTATCCTATTTGGGTACGTAGTGAATATTGCATTAGATAAAAATGGATATTTATACTTTATAATTAATAAAATGACAATTTTATCCAAAAGAAGTAGTATCCAATGTAAAAGTAGATTTAAATCTTTCTTTCTTCCTTTCGATTCTGTTTAAACAGGCTCCAACAAAATACCCACCCACTTTTTACTAACTTCACATGAGATAATATCAATTATTTCATTACAACAAAATCGGGTTTATAGGACACTCCTAATTTCTAAGTGTCCTAATAGACCTCTTTATAAGACTTATTTTATATGACCAAAAAAATAAAGTGTCATATCTTGAGGCGTTGTAATAAGTTTATATTACGTTTTTTGACGTCGTAATAATTTTTTTAGGACACTTTTAAAATAAAATGTCTCATTAGCAACTTTATAGAACACTATTTGAAAAATTGTCCTATAAAAACAAATGTCCTATAAAAAATTGAGTTTATAGAACATTTTCTCAAAAGTGCCCTATAAAGTTGATAATGCGAGTCATGAACCCGAGTTCGAGTCTTGGAAGGGGAGTGTTGACGACATTTAAGTGGGGCCATGTTTAGCCTCCAAATTTGGCGGGGATTAGTCGGGCTTTGGCCCGGACACCCTTACAAAAAAAAAGTTGATAATACGACACTTTATATTAAAAATATCTTAAAAAAACTTGTTAATATGCCCAAAAACGTCATATAAACTTATTACAACACCTTTATATATGATATTTTGATCGTATAAATTAAGTCCTATAAATCGGTCTATTATGATACTTAGAGTGAGGGTGTCCTATAAATCCAATTTTGTTGTAGCGTTTCAATGTAGAATAATTAATTATATCACATAACGTGGAGGAAATATTAAAACAATTTAGACACATACATTTAACCTTTAGCTTACCATCATCTTCCAAAAACAACCCAAACTTTAAAAACCGAATAACCCGGTTATCACACAACAACTTCTAGAGATCGAGATACAAATAACATGATAAGAAGACCAAACTACTTCTAAGTTTTTATGTATGTATGTATGTGTTTGTGTGCATAGACGTTCCAATCTTTTTGCAAGCCCTGTTACGTTAAAAAAAACTTTTGATTGCACTACAAAAAAATGAGATAACAAAAATACATATATACAAATTGTAGAGGTGGACTATGATTTTACATTTGTTAATGAAAGACTCAAAACAATGTAAAATTGAGCCCAAATTTTTGGGAGTCTGTTCAAAATCTCATATTTAACATGCTAAAAACGCTCATGTAGTGAATGTACCTATATATAGCATCAGGTTCAGACGAGAAAAATGAATAAGTAATAAACATATGATTTTACACTATAGGGTGCGTTTGGTTTGCGGGATTGGAATGGAATTGGGGGGATTTGGATTTGAAATCCATTCCAATCCAGTGTTTGGTTTGCTGGATTGTGAGAAATTGAAATCCAAGGATTCCTTTGAAATCCCATGAACGATGGATTTGGAAATCCTTTGAAAATATACGGGATTTTAAAATCCATTCCAGATTACACAACTTACATCGTCTCCATCTCCATATCCATATACAAAGCTAAACATCGCTCCATCTTCTCCCACAGCTTACATCCCTCGCCCTCTCCCGTCGTCGTCGCCGTCGGCCCTTCGTCTTCGTCGCCGTCGGCCCTTCGTCGCCGTCGCCCTTCATCTCTGTCGGCCTTCGTCATCGTCGCCCTTCGTCTCCGTCTCCGTCGCCCTTCGTCTCCGTCGCCGCCTCCGTTGGTGGTCGTCGCTCACCGTCGCCCTCGCCGTCGCCCATTGCCTTCTCCCATCACTCAACAGGTAAATCCCTTTTCCCCTAAACTATGAACACAGATTAGGTTAAATATACAGATTATGTTCAATTTTGCTGTAGTTCTCGATAATTTTGCTGTAGTTCTCGATAATTGTCAATTGAGTAAGGAGACCCAATACTACAAACCCTACAAACCAAACAGAGGATGGATTTTAAATCCAATCCAATCCAAATCCCTCCTAGGAATCCAAATCCCTCGAAAACATTCCTACAAACCAAACACACCCTAAAATCACATTTGATATTACTGTTATATAAGTGAAACAATTATAATATTATTTATTAATGTTTTAGTATGATATCTTTAATTTAAAAATAAAGTTGACATTTACTTTTAAATCATGTGAGGTTAGGGATAAAATCTCGTTTTTCAATAAAGGTGGGACAGAGATGAGAACAAATTTATAATAAAAAAAAGGGGTTTTCTAACCCTACCCCCTCCTACACTTTTACACCTACATTTTCTATACCCCTCTTATATATTATTTTTCATTTTTAACCTTTTGATATTTTCAGTTTTAACCCTTCAACTTTTATAATATTTTGTTATTATATTTTTTATGTTTTTAATTTTTAATATAGATTATAAATATATAAATTAATTAACTTTATATTATTATTAATTAATAAAGTATTAATATTCTTTTAATAATTATATAAATTAATTAAATTTAGATTATTATCTATACTATATTATAAAACATTTGACAAAAACTCTTAAAAACCATTTTTTATACAT